TCGTATACTAGAAGCTCTATTCAAAACTATTAAAATATAAATTGAAAAAAAGCTACCACCAATCTCTAGATCTTTTATTTGTAAATCGAACGGTATATCTCTCATTGCTGTAGCTTAAAAACTCTAGGAGGAGATAGGTTTGCAGTGACAATAAGTGTGAATGTTCAGTAGAGCGCGGCAAAGTCCCGAGCGCCTCGAAATAGGCATTCAAGGTGGCATGGATACAAGACTAGACGTTACCGGAGCTGAAATTCAGTCAAGGATGGTGGGAATGACTGCATGAGCACCATCCCACACTACAGCAGCCGTGTAACTAAAGATCAGCGTCATCAGGTCGTCTATTTATGTGCCCGGCCGGTAATTTTCGCCTACCTTAAATGTGAATGAACTCCCCCACCCCTAACCCTTTCGCGAACTGTCGTAAAGGCATAAATCAACGTACAGAGATGATTTTGGTACCGTTGGATAGGTCAGAATGTCAGCTTTAAGGTGAGACTAAAAAACCGGAAAAGTGAAATTTGCGACTTTTTGATCCAGAAATTCGGGCGGTGAAGGGTTAAAGTCTTTTGATCGTAGAAGATACCGCGCGTGTTTCAAAAATTGTATCTTCTTTTGCGCTGTAATTTTTGATATTTTTAGTGGTTACACCCATCATAATATTATTTATTCTAGGCTTTTGAAGAGTACAATTTTGTACGCGTTGACAATACATTATTCACTGTAATAATATCGATGTTTCAATAGACAAGAATTCATCATTTCACAGTTTTCTGTTCATTTATTGTCTCCTGCAATATGTATGCAATGTCTATTTCAGCTCGTGGTAGCCAAGTCGCCGGTGGCTCCTCTTGCAGTCTTCGACTACACGATTACAGCGTCCGGAATATCGGTCTCAGGTTAGTTTCTATTGTCCATGCAATAAATAATATCGGTCTCAGGTTAGTTTCTATTATCCATGCAATAAATTACACAAGCCAGTTTATTTCTAAGTTACATTTTGTAATTGACTAATATAGATTTTAGTTTAGATTATGCAGCGAGTTTCGTCCTTTTCTAGAGATCCTTCATAAACTGTAGATATTGAGGTCTGTGACCGTGTACGAAACCAAGCCAAGCTGTAAAAAGGAATTTGCTGGAGCTTCAGCAGAGCGAAAAAAATTCAGATGAAAGTGTCGAGATTGCATCCGGACATAGTCATATCATAACAAAGTCATATCATAGCAATAATTCTAGTGCAAGGTTACATCATAGCATGGCTATTGCAGTGCTTATTTTTTGCATGCTCGCGACAGTTCATTATTTTTAAAGTGGCTTTTTGGTGGTAGCTATGAATATTTTATACTTCAATAAGAACTTTTCTCACCACACAGGCCGCGGGAAGTACTCCAATCAAGGCTGTGATCCCAACACCATCCACATTAGCGTGCAGCCTGGAGCGTCCATATAGAGATTACAAGCTGCCACAGTTGAATCTTTGTATACTTTCTGCACATAAACCGTTGTCGATTTAATTCATTTTAAAGGCCTGGTAACAAGAGCTAAAGAAATAAATAGTCGTACTTATTAGCATATTTTCGCTTGAATCCTCACCCCCCATCTAAGCTTGTTCGATTATTCATTTATCAACATTTACGTATTCGGTTATTTCGATTAATTTTTGCTTTGTGAAACCAGTTAATAAAGTATTGGCTATTAATATTGAAAACTTGTAATTTTCTATGATTCAATTTATACTTGAGGAAGACAGCACAGAATCCTTGTGGCATCTGAAGCCGATATAACTTCCATCAATATTTAAAGTTTAAGATATAGCCTATAATTTACATCTTGGAATACACTTCCCGCAATTGCCTGTTATTCTGAGTACTCGCGAGTGCTTCCAAGTACTTTCGCTTTTTGGCTATGGTGGCTCGCCCTAAAGCCTTCCATGCCACTCACAGATCGTATTCGAAATTCAACTAATAACAAGCGCATAATTCAGTCTAAAATATTCTTCTCCATCGAGAATATTCTCCCCAAAAACCGATTACTAGATGGAAATTTGAACGACACTAGTATTTTTAAACGCTGTTTCCTGCTTCAGGTTCATGGTCAGTTAGGCCATAAAGATTTATTTTATTTTATTATCGCTTCTTTGGCATCAAATTCTCGGATGAGTAATACCGCCAGGTATGATTCCCTCGAAATATTGTGTTGATCCTGCCAGCATTTGCTACATAATTCTAAAAATTCTAAATTATTAACACGTATAGATGGAACGAAGAACATATAAAATAGAAGTGTCGGCACTGAAGAAATATAGACCTATGGCCTGTTAGGCGGTTGCCGATTCTTGTACTTTTCGTGACTTGATTCGCAAGGGTTCCGGCCTTTGGAACCCGATCTTTCTATAACTGACGATTGATTGAGATAACTGCTGGACTTATTGCCTGGTCCGTAATTTGCTAGGCATTTTAAGACTGAACATATGCTCTTGCATAGCTTCGTCTAGTCTGTTCTTGAAGGCATTCATACTCGGAGCGTCAACGATGCTGTCAGGGAGGCTATTCCACATGTCGGTGACTCGAAGCGAGAAGAAATGTTGTCGCATGGATGTGTTACAGCGCAGTTTTTACTGCATTTGATCATTTATGGAAAAAAAGGCGCTATGGTGCTCGTGATGTCCGTCCGTCTGTCTGTGACTTCACGTTTTCGTCGACGAGAAAATGCGCTCTCTGTCACTCACTGCAGTTCCATGCAATAAATTACACAAGCCAGTTCATTTCTAAGTTACATTTTGTAATTGACTAATATAGATTTTAGTTTAGATTATGCAGCGAGTTTCGTCCTTTTCTAGAGATCCTTCATAAACTGTAGATATTGAGGTCTGTGACGTGTACGAAACCAAGCCAAGCTGTAAAAAGGAATTTGCTGGAGCCTCAGCAGAGCGAAAAAAATTCAGATGGAAGTGTCGAGATGGCATCCGGACATAGTCATAACTCATATCATAACAAAGTCATATCATAGCAATAATTCTAGTGCAAGGTTACATCATAGCATGGCTATTGCAGTGCTTATTTTTTGCATGCTCGCGACAGTTCATTATTTTTAACGTGGCTTTTTGGTGGTAGCTATGAATATTTTATACTTCAATAAGAACTTTTCTCACCATACAGGCCGCGGGAAGTACTCCAATCAAGGCTGTGATCCCAACACCATCCACATTAGCGTGCAGCCTGGAGCGTCCATATAGAGATTACAAGCTGCCACAGTTGAATCTTTGTATACTTTCTGCACATAAACCGTTGTCGATTTAATGCATTTTAAAGGCCTGGTAACAAGAGCTAAAGAAATAAATAGTCGTACTTATTAGCACATTTTCGCTTGAATCCTCACCCCCCATCTAAGCTTGTTCGATTATTCATTTATCAACAGTAACGTATTCGGTTATTTCGATTAATTTTTGCTCTGTGAAACCAGTTAATAAAGTATTGGCTATTAATATTGAAAACTTGTAATTTTCTATGATTCAATTTATACTTGAGGAAGACAGCACAGAATTCTTGTGGCATCTGAAGTCGATATAACTTCCATCAATATTTAAAGTTTAAGATATAGCCTATAATTTACATCTTGGAATACACTTCCCGCAATTGCCTGTTATTCTGAGTACTCGCGAGTGCTTCCAAGTACTTTCGCTTTTTGGCTATGGTGGCTCGCCCTAAAGCCTTCCATGCCACTCACAGATCGTATTCGAAATTCAACTAATAACAAGCGCATAATTCAGTCTAAAATATTCTTCTCCATCGAGAATATTCTCCCCAAAAACCGATTACTAGATGGAAATTTGAACGACACTAGTATTTTTAAACGCTGTTTCCTGCTTCAGGTTCATGGTCAGTTAGGCCATAAAGATTTATTTTATTTTATTATCGCTTCTTTGGCATCAAATTCTCGGATGAGTAATACCGCCAGGTATGATTCCCTCGAAATATTGTGTTGATCCTGCCAGCATTTGCTACATAATTCTAAAAATTCTAAATTATTAACACGTATAGATGGAACGAAGAACATATAAAATAGAAGTGTCGGCACTGAAGAAATATAGACCTATGGCCTGTTAGGCGGTTGCCGATTCTTGTACTTTTCGTGACTTGATTCGCAAGGGTTCCGGCCTTTGGAACCCGATCTTTCTATAACTGACGATTGATTGAGATAACTGCTGGACTTATTGCCTGGTCCGTAATTTGCTAGGCATTTTAAGACTGAACATATGCTCTTGCATAGCTTCGTCTAGTCTGTTCTTGAAGGCATTCATACTCGGAGCGTCAACGATGCTGTCAGGGAGGCTATTCCACATGTCGGTGACTCGAAGCGAGAAGAAATGTTGTCGCATGGATGTGTTACAGCGCAGTTTTTACTGCATTTGATCATTTATGGAAAAAAGGCGCTATGGTGCTCGTGATGTCCGTCCGTCTGTCTGTGACTTCACGTTTTCGTCGACGAGAAAATGCGCTCTCTGTCACTCACTGCAGTAAGGACTGATCTAAATTTTTGGTTTATATCCGTGGCCCCTGGTGTTGGTTCTTGTTTCAAATTCTAGTCTAGTCTAAGTCACGCTGGTAATCGCGCGCGAGGGACAGCAATTTTCATGTTTTTTTTTAACGCAATTAAACTTTTTTTAAGTCAGAAAGCACTCGCTGGCTTAGAAAATTACAATATGATGCAACGACGGAAAAAGTAAATGCTTGTATTAATAGATTCAGAAAATTATGCGTGGAACAGAAAAATAACTCGTAAGTCATTTCGATATACCTTTTGTATTATAACAATTCTGAAATAAATTTATTTGGAGAAAAAAAAAAGAGTATGGAATTGAGAAATACTACAATAAATGCGTTATAGAAGTAAAGCATCTGACCGAACTACTTGTAAAAATTCAGCACTCCAGGAAGTACATTACACGCAAAAAAAATTTGTACTAGATAAATAATACGATGAGTATCGATCTTAAGCGACTCGCCGTTAGCTAGCGACCATGCAATGTGCTAGACATACGACCGCACGGCGCTGTGATGGCGTGACTTACCTTCAAACAACGTCACGCGATTTGCATCCAAGCGATACCGCCCAGTAAACATTAATACTTCTCAATGACGTCAATATATACGTTACGATGTTCCATCGTACATCAACAGGATGGCTTCAATCAGTGTTCCAATGCAATTTTTCGCCGCGGATGCTGCAATCGGCATCTTATTTTATTGCAATCAATACCTGATTTTATTTTAACGTAAACACCTCGATAACGAGTATTGGCTTATAGTTCTTTGTCAAGCGTGGGTCCCAGCATAGCAGCTGTGGGGGCTTGGTGCTGACGACTCCTCCTTGTATTGTATTGACCAGCGACCTCGTGTAGTTTGCTGTGTGGGACCTACAGTTCGTTATAGTAACGCGGCTCGGTCGTGTTGTATGTTTTGCTGTGCTCAAATATCGAGTTATTGTTGATTAAAATATATTCTCACTGAACCCAACATGATACTTTATTTGTGCAGTTCTATTCCAATGTTATTACCTAACATTGAACTGAATACAACTTGACGCTGTGCTTGTATGTATAAGGTTAAGTGTTCGAGAAGAGTTTTTAGTGGTAAAATATTCTTATAAAAGCCTATGCTTTATCATTAGAGTTCAATTTCAATGTTCTTACCTAACATTGAAGCCAATGTGACATGGTTCTGTATGACAAGTGTTAAGTGTTCGATCTTTGCGATGCAAAATTTATGAATTTTAGCAATTGTAGGATAGAGAATGACTAATATTCTGATAAAAATTTTCAATTTCGAATTAACATATTATGGTTTACCGTTCAAGTGACGAGACGATTGAACGTATGTTTCTTAAGATCAGGCGCTGATGCTTTTTTTAACAGCGTTGCAACGATACATTTTTCTTTCTTATTAGGATATATTCTTATTCTCTGCGTTTATAAATTATACGGTGTGTAAAAACTACGTGATGGTCCATCAGTAAAGTAAACTCAAGCTAACATGTAAATAAAATTAACTCAATCTCACATGTAAATAAAGTTAATTGGACTGCACGAAGTGTTGTTCAGAACGGTGCGTTTCCGAAGATCAGTATAGCGTTGTGTCAAGGTTGTCACGAAAGTCGTTTTAATGAACATTAATAATAAAATTTAACGCAACTTTCGTGGCAAATATAATGCTCGCCTATGTCGCTTGTGGTAGTATGAAGGTTTGAATGGTTAGAGAGATTGCGCGTCATGATCTTCGATGTTTTTGTTTTGACTAATGTAATTAATATTGTCCTTTTTATATTTATATTTTCAGCCCACGCTGATATTTTATTTCACAGTTTTTCTTTCATTTTTAGAGTTATTTACATTACATAACGTTTACAGCAACATATTGCAATTCCATCCGTTTACGCTTGATATAGAGTAACATCCAATAAAGAACGTTGAAGATTTCGCTCGTTTGCATACAGAGCGAAAGCTTACAAAATTATATAACTACAAATGTGTGGCATCCTCCATTGCCGTTCATCACTCTCTCCACTGGTGCGTGACAAAGCATCACGCACAGGCAACGACACATACACACAACGTGTGCTTACTTCCCATCATTAATCATATTGTCTGGCGTAATGTTACACGGCGCAGCTATCATCGATACCTCATGCAAATGAAGATCGCTGTGCGTGGGCGCCATGCTGCTGCTGCTGGTGGCGCTGCAGACGTTAACAGCTCTCGTGCTGCTGCGTGGTACAGGGGGCACGGAACAGCCGAACGCATTCCTCCAGGTCATTAATTACTCGTATTTGATAACACAAAATAATGTTTGCGAAGAAAACCCACTGTAGTGTAGCTTTATCAGTCTAAAATCGCCACGATAATCCTTTATTGGCACTTTAGTGTTCGTTATTTATCTTCTAGCGGCTGCAGCTCATGGAAAGATAATTTCTTTTTGTTTACTCACTCGTAAGCAATCCCGACGGGCTAGTCTACGTACATCCAGACTGTGGAAATACCACCGTACCACGGCTCATAACAGGCGGATTAACAATCATGTGGCTTCACTATTTGATGCAATCATTGCATAGGATCAATTATTGAAGAGATAATTGGAGATAAATTCTGTATAGAAGTAATTATTGTAATGTTTTAGTTCTTATAAGCGCTATTAATTTAGACAGTCACAACGCCGAATGCGCAAAGTACGTACTAATTAATTTAGCTTTTTGTTAGTAGGCCAGTAAGCCACGTTTTCAATTAGCCAAAAGAATTGAAGAGCAAATGTTGATGACTTTATTTTATGTTTGCTTCATTAATGCTCTGAGCTACAGATCTGTAAACTACAATTCAAAATTTACCCTATTCCTTGATCGGTGTGATGTGTCCTGGTGCTTTTATTTTCATCTCATAACCCTGATTTCAGATGGGACTCTCACAGCCGGTTCCAAATCTTCACAATGGTAATCAACAAAGTGCATATCAACGTGGGAACAAAACTGAAACCATTTGGCATACAAACAGCGGCGCAGAGGAGCTTCACAACAGTTCTAGTCGAAGAAATACGTATTCCGAGTCTACCGTAACCCGTCTTCGCAGCGCACAACCTTCACTTCAACCCAGCAACGAAAATGTTAACGGTGTTAAGCGACTATTTTTGCCTCTTCCAGAGTCTTTAATGAAATACCTTGTTTCAATCAAAAAAGAGAATCGGGTCTCATCCCATACACAAGATTTTAATGTTTCCAATTCTATTACGGTAGGAAGTCGCCCTATGAGCGAAAATCAAACAAAAATCGCCGACAGTCTCGATGATCGACGAAAATGTTAACGGTGTTATGCGACTATTTTTGCCTCTTCCGAAGTCTTTAATGAAATACCTCATTTCGATCAAAAAAGAGAATAGGGTCTCATCCCATACTACACAAGATTTTAATGTTTCCAATTCCATTACGGTAGAAAGTCGCCCTACGAGCGAAAATCAAACTAAAATCACCGACAGTCTCGTAGAAATTCCTGAAAAAACTGAGATACCATTCATTAGTTTCCTCAAAGCAAGTCGCGAGAGCTTCGAATGGGCGAACAACTCAACTGCTGATTACATGTTATCAGACATCGAAAATTTCATCCACGATGATATCTTGCCCAACTCCACAACTGTATTTTCTTCAGATGTTCATTCTGCCCGAGTGCCACAGCCTATCCCCGAAAATAAGTTTCATTCCAATCAATTTCTACAAACTGGTAACGCATCATCGTCGGAGAGTTCAACACTAATTACAATGCTGGAAATAGGCTTTGAAAATTTTGGGCGTAGCACCGAAGTGAGAGACGATATTCCCAAAAGTTTCATAAACGGAAGCATGTACGATTTTTCTACTAATTATGAAATTACAAATGAATCTTCTGCTACGAGAGAAAAAACAGCTTTCAGTCGCACCTTAGGGGTAACTTTTAGCAAGGATGTATCTGAAGACATTTTCGTAAATGTTACGGATATGAACGACTCAAGCGAATTAGTTTCGGATGAATCTTATTCAGCAATTGAATCGCGTGGTGCCGACTCGCATGTCGACTTGCAGAGTAACCACTCTACATTAGGACCAGCGAGCCGAAGGATTGAAAGTTCGTTTGACACTTTCTCGACTCCTGGATCTACAAACGTTTATGTTTCTGAGAGTGACACTAGAGAAAACCAATTCATCTCTACCTTTACTCCCGAAACAGACTTCACGACTACACAGGATGCGTCGAATTTCAAGAACCATAAAGAGAACGTGATATCGAGCGGGTTTTTCAAATCCGTCACAGAGCGAGACGCATTGAATGCCGGCGCTCGTTCGAGTGGTGATCTAGCTACCAGTCTACCTATTAACGTAATCCATCAATTGACCAGCTTATCGGTTGATGGGGTCCGTCAAGGGATTACACCTGCGGTGCAAGGAATGCACTCGATTACTAGACCACCACCCATTGAGCTCACCACTCGACGCCAGAGAAGAACCATGTACGTTGTGGTGGTACATGAACGCCCTTGTGACGGTATCTGCTGCAAGAGAGAACACTTAACTGGTAGGTCGTTTCCTTGAATAATACTGCATTTGGTTTCAATTTTAAGATAATTGACCGGATTTTTAACGAAAAAAAAACGGAGATCGAGCGTTAGGTCACAAATTCAATTAAATTACTTAATTTATCCAATTACTTGATTTATATGTTCAGCGATCATTTAGTTCCTACAACGATATTTCAGGCTTTCTCGAGTCCAACTGCCGTTTCTGCAAGAATTCACAAATTGTATTCAAATGGTGCAAATTGGCCTCAAGGCATGTCAGAACACAACTTGGATTTGCTTTCTGTTGACACATTTTTTGCCGGCAAGTGTTGCCTGTTGCTAAATTATCAAATTCGATTGAGTTCAATCCCGCAACTAAACTTGAATTCGCCATTAATTGAGCTACTAATTTGTTTTGCAGGCAAGTGTCGCCTGGCGCTGACTTGTGCTCTACTCCGCTTCCACTTGACGACCCTCAAGACGATGTCTTGCGGCACTACCTACGAGGCCACGCTCGGCGATGTCAACCTCGTGCAGCGCTCCTCTTGGTTGCCGTCCCATACACGGAACCTTGCTCCTGCAGTAGTCAGCGATCACAAGCAACCAGGAACTTTAGATCTTTCATCAATTAGCATTTCAAACAATAATGGAGATGAAAAAATTCTAATCGATAAGCAAACGTCCGGTACTGAGGATTTCCAGCAACATTCCCATACTTTCACAGACTTTATCGGCATTTTTCCGGCGCTGATGCCAGAAGAAAATAACATTACTTCAACCGTCCCGCCGACCGGAGGAGCTTCAAGCGAGACACTGGTCACTGCAACAGTTCCTTCCTTAATTCATCGTGAGATATTGAAGAAAACTCATGAAATTCCGGGATCTGATGAAGTAAACGACGTAGTTATACCAACATTTATCAATGACAAGTATTACGGCCGAAAGGAAATACCAATACATGTTGATATTGAGCTGTCTTCAATGGCAACAAAACTTGAGAGTGAAGTAAGCTCGGGTGCAGGAGGAAGCGGCGTATCGATATTGCCTGACAGCGGCATCTTGACTCTATTTGAAACTGATTTTAGCGACCAAGCGTATGTGAAGAATGATACCATGCCTCCATACATGATGAATGATAATGATATTATATTCGTGACTGAAACCAACTCTTTAAACCATATGAATGCGACAGATCCTCCGTTTGTGATTAATAATACCGACACTTCATACATGTTGAACGACACCGACCTTGAATACAAGGTGAATAACAGCTTCTCTTTTAACCAAATGAACATCACATACCCTCTGTTGGTTAATAACACTACTACTAATAATATTGCTACTGATTCATTCATGCTGAATGACACAGACTCAATGATCCCTAACATGACAACTGTCCCGGACTCAGAAAGTGAAGAAGGTGAGTGGGACGCATACATCACGGACGGCGTAAGCATAGACTACAACTATGATGATTATACCACAGATCCCGAGTACGACTACTACTATGACGAACCTGAGACCAAACGCCACCTGGTGTACAAAGACCAGGTCTGGATAAACGGTTCAGGGAGATCGGTTGAGCTGAGCGAGGTGGAGTCAGTTGTAGACGAAGGCGGCCGGCGTAACTCCGGCAGAGCTATGGAGGGCGACGCTGAGTGGATCAACGAAGATGACAGACGCAAGCCAAACATTGTCATGAGTTCGCATACATTTGACCACGCGCTTCCTTGAGTAGATCAATGAATGTGACAGACGCAATCCACACCTCACGAGTTTTCATAAAATTGACCTCGCGCTTCTTTGAGCAGTTTGACGAATATGATAGACGCAATCTACACCTCAAGTGTTGGCATACATTTGACAACGGGCTGCCTTGAACTCATGCGAGTAGCTCATGACCTCTTGTCGCTCATTTAATTTGGCGATATTTGTGAATATATTATATACTTTGACGATGTTTTTGTAAGACTGTAAATGTATTAAAATTTCTTCTGAAACAAATTTATAGTCTGTTTCCATTCTGTTAGAGGTTTATGAAGAGTTGCAAAATGCTAATTTGCCTTCAAACCTTAGGGTAATATATCCGTGAAAAGCAGATAATCTGTTGCGCTTATCATTTTTTACATAAGTTTGAGCATGTGTGTATTCATTAAACAGAATTCATGTCGTCGGCGCGCTTGTGGTGCCAATGAAATCAAGGTTTGTCGCTAATTTTCTTTGTTGACTTGAGCCATCATTAGAGAAATGCCTCCGTATAGTACTAGAATAATTTCAAGTACTATAAACTATTCAAACAATACAGGATGCGTGGAACGAGAAAGTAGTACGCATTACTTCGCAGTTGTATAGCCTATTTGTAATCAATCCAGCAGTACAGTATCTAATTTTGGGTAACATCGGGGAAATAAGATGTTGAAATCACGCGTTCCCTCTATTTATTAAAAGATTTGAGTCTAGGATGAAAAACTGCCATGAACTAGAAAAAACCAATGGCAAAAAGTCCAAAAACCTCGACACCAAATAAATTAAAGGTACCAAGTACTAGGAATTGATTACGGAAAAAACAGAGAGCATCAATAATAGTAGTTAAGGCATCAAAGACACTAAAACTGTGCTTGTTTAAAATAATATTGGACACAGGGTTAGCACTTGAATAAACAACTCCCACAGAAAAATGATTGAATTTTGAATGCGGTTTCTTGAAGTCCTTCGCATCGCAAACTAGCTTAATAAAGAAACTGTAACAAAACCGTAAAATGATTGAATTTTGAATGCGATTTTTTGACGTCGTTCGCATCGCAAACTAGCTTAATAAAGGAACTGTAACAAACCCCTACACGTTGGGGCTCTAATTCGAATCATCCAGACTCAGTAGCTGCGTCCAAAGAGGCAGTAGTACTGCGCCGGCTGGCCACACCGAGGATGGACACACAGGGACCCAGCAGGCAGAGGTTGGGGCTGCTGGAACGGGATGCACAGCGACTTGGCACCCATCGAGGGAGCTCCAGGCTCCGAATCCTGGTCTCTGGCAGAGTCTTTCTTGATCGAGTCTTCGCAATCCTCGCGACCGCAGAACGGTGACAAGAGAAGATGACCGCGATCCAGAGTAGGACAGAACTCAGACCATTGCGAGATAAGAGTCGTGTGCGTGTCAAGCAGTCCGCGAGCTCGAGCTAACATGTCTTGTTGAATGGTAGCGAGTAAATGGGAAATAGCCGACACTATCGACATGCGATCCAAGGCTTGCTTCTCGCCAGTGTCTCGCCTCACGACGAACACTTGACCGCCAGCAACTTCCCGGGGCCCCACCTCGAGACGGAGTGGAACGCCCTTCAACTCCCAATGGTTGAACTTCCACGCAGGCGTGACGTTGTCTCGAAAATCTGCGCGTGTTCGAATACCAGCGTCATTAAGTTCATCAGCGAGAGTTTGGCAGGCAGTTTGCAGGTTTTTCTTCTCTTCCTCAGTGACCTTCACGGTTATGCCAACAGGCATAATGACGCACTGCAGTGACGCTACTTTCGGAGGCAGGACCAAACCCTTGTTGTCTCCATGCACCATAACCATGACGCCGATGGTCCGGGTGGTGAGACCCCAGCTGTTTTGGTACACGAACTGTTTCTCTTGGGTTGCTGGGTCTTCGAAAACTATATCGAACATCTTGGAGAAGTTCTGCCCAAGATGATGAGATGTCGCTCCCTGGATGCCTCGTCCGCTGCCAGCGATATACGCTTCGGTTGTAGTGGTGAAGTCTCCACCGGCGAACTTTTCCTTTTCAGTCTTCTTTCCTTTAACAACAGGAATAGCTAACAGCTCTTCATAGACTCGTGCATATAAGTCCAGAATCTGGTAGACTTCTTCAGTAGCTTCGGGCTTTGTAGCGAAGGCGGTGTGGCCTTCTTGCCACAGAAACTCGCGGGTGCGCAGGAAAGGTGTTGGTTGTTTGAACTCCCAACGTACGACGTTGTTCCACTGGTTGAGACGCAGCGGCAGGTCGCGGTGAGACTGGATCCATTTAGCAAATGAGGGATACATGACGGTCTCCGAAGTGGGGCGGATGGCTATAGGTTCAGCCATTTCACTTGATCCCGATCTTGTGACCCACGCTACTTCGGGTGAGAAATCCGCGATGTGAGTTTTCTCTTTCTCCAGGGCATCTCGAGACACGAACATAGGAAAATATGAATTTTCTACGCCGAGTTTCTTGATCTCACGGTCAAAAAATTCTTTGATAAAGTCCCAGATAGCATAAGACCATGGTCTTAAGATGTAACATCCTGACACATTGTAGTACTCGATCATTTCTGACTTAGTGATCACTTGAGAATACCACTCGGATAAATTTTCTTCTTTTGCTATCTCAAGACCGAGCCTTGTTTGCTTTTTGCCATCGGTGGCAGGATTTTCTTCTTTCTTTGCGGGTTTCTTTCCCTCATTTGACTTACTCGGTTTGGTCTGTGCAACAGAAGCAGGAGGAGCAGCGGCAGCATCAGCGGAGCCGCCACTTGAAAGCGGGCTACTCATATCAGGCTTCCAGTCCACACCTAAAGCTTCCTTGAAATCTTTCTTATACTGCAGCAGGATATCTACTGCACTTTTCACTGTATTCTTGTCAGCTCCATTTGATTTCAGTTGACGAACTATGTCGCCTTGTGTTTTGACTTTCTCATTAAATTCATCAAACTGATTTTTAGTGTCGCCATCTGCAACAGATGGTGCGGTGAACTGACTCAGGTCAATGTCTGGTTTCCAATCGATATTAGTAGCAGCTTTGAATTCCTGTTTAAGCTTCAAAAGAATATCAACTGCATCCTTAACAACAGTTTTTTCGGCCTTATTTGATTTCAAATCTCTTACGGTGTTACCTTGATCGACGATTTGTTGGTGTATTGAGAGGGCTTTGCTGTCGCCAGCAGCCACAGTTGCTGCAACTTTGGCAACAAATGCAGGAGTAGGAGGAGCTGCAGGAGCAGCACTGAATTTACTCACGTCAATACCTGGTGTCCAGTCGAGTCCAGATGCTTCCTTGAACTGTTTCTTGAGGTCAAGAAGAACATCAACGGCAGCTGTGACGTCATTTTTGGGAGCTTTGTTCGACTTGAGATTCCTCACAACGTTTCCTTGATCCACGATTTTATTGTGGAGTTCATGAGCGCCAATGCAAGCAGCAATTGGGGTAGATGAAGCAATTGAAGCAGAGGTGGGAGTTGAAGGAGCCAAAGCAGCAGCATTTTTACCAAACTGGCTTACATCGATATCAGGTTTCCAGTCAAGCCCAGTCGCTTCTTTAAAATCTTTCTTGAGAGCAAGAAGAACATTGACCGCAGTTGTTACTTCCGTTTTGTCGGCCTTGCTTGCCTTGAGATTTCGAACGGCATTCCCTTGGTCAACAATCTTTTGGTAGAGCTCTAATGCATCATTCTTGCCACCACCAGGAGCTGAAACTTCAAACTTACTGATGTCGATGTCAGGAGTCCACTCCACTCCAGATTTTGCACTAAAGCTAGACTTGAGTTCTTTGAGAACAGCAACTTCGGACATTACCACGTTTTTGTCAGCCTTGTCAGCTTTTAACTGACGAATCTTGTCCCCTTGTTCTTTTATCTTCAAATGTATCTCTTGTATTTCATGGCCACCAGATGACACGATAGGCTTAGCTTCATCCTGAGGACTTTTCTCTGCTTTCTTTCCTTTTGCGCTCTGGGCAACTTCTTTGGCTGAAACAGCAGGCACTTTTTTGATAGCAGACGCTGTGGCAGCTGCACTCGCGTCTTTACTGTGGCCATCTGGCACATAAAAGAGCACAACGGGTGAGGATTTACAGCTACTGACATCTGGTTCAACGTACTGCTCATCAACTCTGAAGAACCCTTTTCTTTGTACTTGGATAATGTCGCCAGTCTTCAAAGTTTTCAACTCGTCATCTCCAAGCATGCAAAGTTCTCGTCTCGTGTCCTGACAAATGAAGTTTTTGAAGTCCTCATCCTTGCCCAGCACGCTCTTGCTGATCAGGTGATCAAAGTACACAGCAACTACAGGTGTAAGCGGAGCACTTGGCGAGTCAACAAGCCAGGTAATCTTCAACGTTTTCTTGTAGTCGGTATTAGAGAGGTTGGTCTCGGCATCCACGGATACAACTTTACCGTTAACGCGGTTAACTTTAACGATCTTCAAGTTTCCCCAGTTGATGAAAGTAGCGTTCTCACCTTCTTTGAGTTCTTCAGCATCCACTTGTTCAATGAGTATATTGGGGCCAACCCACACAGTCTTGTTACCGATAGTTGGATCTTTGGGATGCTTTTGGACAGACATTGCTTCCAGCTTGGCGCCAGACACTTTAACAGGCACTAACGTCTCCTTTTCCAAAGCAACGTAGCGTGGCGCAGACGCATCAATTACTTTCTTGTTGAAAGACCAAATTTTGTCCCACTCCATGTTGACCACGGACCGTGACGAGCCTTGGGCGATGATAAATTCCTTGAGACCTTCCACAGTCATGCCTCTGCGAATGATGCCTCGCACTGTAGGGAATCTTGGGTCGTCCCAACCGTCAACGAGCCCTTGCTCTACAAACCACGTAAGCTTACGCTTGGATAGCACAGTGTTGTTCATGTTCAGTCTTGCATACTCATAGATATGAACCTTACGCAATGACAGCTTCTCGATGAACCAGAAGAACTGTTCATCTCTGTCATGGTATTCAGTAGTTCTAAGAGCATGAGTAACACCCTCGATGCTGTCGACGATGGGGCAAGCAAAGTCATAAGTTGGATAAACTTTATACTTGTTGCCCGTACGCACGTGAGTCTCTGGCTTGCAGCGATATATGGTTGGATCTCTCATGCAGCCATTGTTGGACTTCATGTCAATTTTAGCTCTCACCGCACACTGTTGGCCCACAATACTTCCTTTCTTCATTTCTTCCCACATGGAAAGGTTCTTTTCAACAGAGTTATTACGGTTGCGACTATCTTTTCTTTCATCTCGCTCAGCCTTCATTGTCTCCGCATCTGTATCGTCCACAAACGCGTCTCCACTTCTGATGAGTTTCTCGCACATCTCCAGCATGAGGTCGAAGTAGTCTGAAGTGTGAGTGAAGCGATCAGGCTTTATTTGCAGCAGTTTCAAATCACCCAAGATGACTTCTTCAAAGTGAGCATCTTCTTTGGCCGGATTGGTGTCATCAAATCTCATAATCAACTTACCCTGCAAAAGAAAATAGGTTTGCTTCAGGTTGTGAGAAATTTCTGGCAGCAACCATAAAAGCTTTATTCATGAAGGTAACATAGTTAAATATATACAGACTAAAACATTATGTAATAATTTAGGTTCAATTAGATGCATAAAGAACTACCTTGAAGGCGAGCTGGTAGTGCTGGTTTAGCAGGGCAGCTTTGGCATGGCCAATGTGGAGATACCCACTGGCTTCAGGGGGGAAGCGCACCACCACCTCACCCATCTTGGCGTCTGGCAACTCAACAAACTTGCCACCTTCCTCACGCTTGCCCCCACGACTACCACCTGACACGAAGCAGCTTTTATCACGAAAGGAAGTAATAGCAGAAATAATCTATATTAGCCCCAACATTAGCTTCTGCTCCTGACATCAAACAATGAAATAAGGTGGCTAGAAGGAAGCAGTAAAAAAATGAATGTAAATGCAATAAGAATGATTGTAATGAATATGGGCAAGAAGTACCAGGATAAAGAAAAATATTAATACATGGTTCACCCGCGGTCCTAACACGAGATATATAAAATGTTAACTAAAAACTCTACAACATCCCTTCAATGCCCTCAAGATCCAAACATCCTTGACCTCCTGATTTGCACAATTAGGATTTTTCTAGATTCAGAAAAATTTTAAAATAAACATTGCACACTACATAGCTTCCTGGTAACTTAGACCAATAAAATGAAAACAAATTTATTAGGAACATTTTACACAAAAAAATCTCATACCTGCAGCACTTCCTCTCTTGGCTCCACTTGGGCCTGCAGCATCCGCTGCGGTTTTCTCTTCTTCTTCCTCAGATGAAGCAGACGCTGCATATGCTTGCAAGTTTGTGCGCAGGTCTTTCGGTAATTTTTCCAGCAAGTTTGAGACCTGCAAAGTGAAGATTAGTAATGCTGAAAACCTACTCAAGAAATTAACAAACAAAATGATTTAGAAAATATGAAGCGTGAGAGATTAATACCAAATATTTACTTCATAATTTAGACATATACTTTTAGGAAAATTTCAATTCATGTTATGGCAACCCATAAATTTTTCAAAAAGAAGTTCTTTGAACACTGGACATGAATAGACCTTACCTTTGCTAAGATGGAATTGTACCACCGTAGCACGTGTACTGGAGCGTCGTCTGATTCTGATATCTTCTGCCAGTCGTTGCTGCCTGTAACATCAATCATGTTTAGGAAAAAAATTTTGTTTTGACGTTTTGTTAGCTTAGAGTCAAATTCAACAATTCTAAAGTTTGGATCCAGATTCCAAAGTTTGGAATCTGGATCCAAATCCAAAGTTTCCAAACTTTGGAAACCAGATTCCAAATCCAAAGTTTGGAATCTGGTTTGGTTTCCCGATTCCAAAGTTTGGTTTGCTATAAAGAAAACAAATTTTCCTTTTAAAAATTGCCAAGTTGCTAATTTCCTGGACTACATTCTTCTTCTATACTCATACTTCAAAATATTTATACTGATAACTTTAATTATAAAAAATGGCACAAAATAATAAAATTTAAATCACTATGTTCAGAAACATTGCATTTATATAGAAATCAGAATAACTGAATACATCTTACAGTAAAGAGCAGCAAACATCTCGTAATCTGCAATGGTCTGGTGAGGAGGTACAAGGCAATGGGCAGGAGCCAACGCAGAATTGAGCTGCTGCAGGACAGGCTTGACGCTGCCTCCATAGCTCACTGTGCTTACCAGACTCAGCCAGTGGTCAACCTGCACAGAAACATTATTAAGCTTAGTGAGTAGAATAATATAAGGTCAATCTGTACAGAAAGGTTCTTCTGCTTCATTTTGATGAGCGTATCAGTCAACATATACAGGAAGGTTACCATATTCATTTGAATGAGCATAATATTAAGGGGTCACCCATAAAGAAAGGTTTTTAATTTAAATGAGCATAATATTAAGGGGTCAACCTGCACAGAAAGTTTATTCACCTGATATGCAGAAAAATTTAATAGACCTTTATAATTTAAACACACTTACATCATCATTTGGAGCTAAGGTTGAATAGTAATGATTTTCTATTCCAGCTCATTAGCTAGAACATTACACAAGCAACAAATATTTCCCCGTATTAATTATAGAACCATTTTTCTCAACAACAAAGTTTCATTGTTCCATTGACATTTAGAGCTTCTCAGCTTTAACAATTTAGCACATAAATTTCACATATACAAAAATTTTTATATGCATTCTTTTTGTGGGACATATTTCTAATTACATTGAAGAATTATTTCCATTGTTAAAATTTATTTGTGGTGTGTAAGTCAAAATATGGCATATCATCATGGTCATAGCGCAGACTGGAACTAAAGGCAATATTTCTGTCTGGACAATTGGACAAATGAACAAGATACCTTATATCTCTAATGAAAAAACTGGTGGCATGTAGTATAATTAACACTTGAATGAAAACAATATGCTCAAGTTTTAGTTTTACACTCAATATATTGTTTGTCTGATATCTACATATTATTTTGGCTCATTTGATAAAAGCTGTACCAGCCAATTGTAAGCATTAGGTCATGAGGAGATGTCTAACACCATTCTTGTCTAATAGTTGCTTCAGTGAGAGCATTTGCTGCATGTTCCTCTTTATTTTTTTTATATGTTCCAATTGGACATTTTGTGAAGAAAACAACCATGATTTTTTTGTAAAGTTTTTGTTTGCACACAATGCATCACAGTTTCTACTTGAATTTACCTAGTGTAGTTAGCTGACAATAAGGCAGTTTCTGCAAGGCTGTAGGACTGTTACACACACCTCTATATGCAATATAGTAATAGGCTATATTGCCTATCACTATATTACAAGCCTATATTATGCCTATATATTGCTTATTACTATATTATGGGCTTGTGCCATTGCAATGATTGCATGTTGTGTAGAATTGTGTGGGCAACCTGGCAGTCAGTATAGGACTGAGTGTGTGCCCCAGCAGTGTAGGACTGCTATGCATGCCCCGGCATGCAGTACAGGACTGCATGCACCTCCAGCATGTTGTGTAGGACTACATACATGCCAGGCAAGCATGGTGAGACTGCTATGCACAGCCTCCCCTGCAGAATAAGACTGTTGAATATAACCTTCCCCACAGTGTAGGACTGTTGGGCATGATTTTCCCTGCAGTGTAGGATTGTTACATACAAACTTGTTGGCTGCATGACTATTGCACACAACCTGCAGTGCATCAATCATGCATGCAAGATGCCATGTGTATGGCTCTTGAATTATTGAACAAGATTTTGCTGATTTTTTTATTACACCCTTATGGGAACCTTTTAGGTTTTTTGTTAAAAAATTGTAAATTCAGATGATTTGACCACAACTAGTATCAGTTTATACTTTATCCTCAACATCTTGATGACTTTTTTCTCAATTCTGTGGGTTACAGTCTTAAACAGACTTAGAAGTCTTGATCAGGAACACTGTCATCATCGAATCAATTATCTGTAGTCACTGGGAGAGGAAGTATGGTAGTGATGTGTTGCTTTAGTTTGCTCAGACATATCCTTCATGAGTGTAAAAATTTAATTTGCACAGAAAGTTTATTCACCTGATATGCAGAAAAATTTAATAGACCTTTATAATTTAAACACACTTACATCATCATTTGGAGCTAAGGTTGAATAGTAATGATTTTCTATTCCAGCTCATTAGCTAGAACATTACACAAGCAACAAATATTTCCCCGTATTAATTATAGAACCATTTTTCTCAACAACAAAGTTTCATTGTTCCATTGACATTTAGAGCTTCTCAGCTTTAACAATTTAGCACATAAATTTCACAGATACAAAAATTTTTATATGCATTCTTTTTGTGGGACATATTGCTAATTACATTGAAGAATTATTTCCATTGTTAAAATTTATTTGTGGTGTGTAAGTCAAAATATGGCATATCATCATGGTCATAGCGCAGACTGGAACTAAAGGCAATATTTCTGTCTGGACAATTGGACAAATGAACAAGATACCTTATATCTCTAATGAAAAAACTGGTGGCATGTAGTATAATTAACACTTGAATGAAAACAATATGCTCAAGTTTTAGTTTTACACTCAATATATTGTTTGTCTGATATCTACATATTATTTTGGCTCATTTGATAAAAGCTGTACCAGCCAATTGTAAGCATTAGGTCATGAGGAGATGTCTAACACCATTCTTGTCTAATAGTTGCTTCAGTGAGAGCATTTGCTGCATGTTCCTCTTTATTTTTTTTATATGTTCCAATTGGACATTTTGTGAAGAAAACAACCATGATTTTTTTGTAAAGTTTTTGTTTGCACACAATGCATCACAGTTTCTACTTGAATTTACCTAGTGTAGTTAGCTGACAATAAGGCAGTTTCTGCAAGGCTGTAGGACTGTTACACACACCTCTATATGCAATATAGTAATAGGCTATATTGCCTATCACTATATTACAAGCCTATATTATGCCTATATATTGCTTATTACTATATTATGGGCTTGTGCCATTGCAATGATTGCATGTTGTGTAGAATTGTGTGGGCAACCTGGCAGTCAGTATAGGACTGAGTGTGTGCCCCAGCAGTGTAGGACTGCTATGCATGCCCCGGCATGCAGCACAGGACTACATGCACCTCCAGCATGTTGTGTAGGACTACATACATGCCAGGCAAGCATGGTGAGACTGCTATGCACAGCCTCCCCTGCAGAATAAGACTGTTGAATATAACCTTCCCCACAGTGTAGGACTGTTGGGCATGATTTTCCCTGCAGTGTAGGATTGTTACATACAAACTTGTGGGGTGCATGACTATTGCACACAACCTGCAGTGCATTAATCATGCATGCAAGATGCCATGTGTATGGCTCTTTAATTATTGAACAAGATTTTGCTGATTTTTTTATTACACCCTTATGGGAACCTTTTAGGTTTTTTGTTAAAAAATTGTAAATTCAGATGATTTGACCACAACTAGTATCAGTTTATACTTTATCCTCAACATCTTGATGACTTTTTTCTCAATTCTGTGGGTTACAGTCTTAAACAGACTTAGAAGTCTTGATCAGGAACACTGTCATCATCAAATCAATTATCTGTAGTCACTGGGAGAGGAAGTATGGTAGTGATGTGTTGCTTTAGTTTGCTCAGACATATCCTTCATGAGTGTAAAAATTTAATTGGACTGCAGTTAACAATTTTGTAGAATAAAAAAAAGTCAATATGTGCAGCTTCCACTAACTCACTAACATAACAATCAACAATATAAGATTGAATAGTTTCAAAAGCCCAGTTAGATTCCCATAGTTTAATTTAGTCACTACTTTGCCAAAGCATTTCAATATGCAAATGAAATTTTTAAGCAAACCCATGACCTTATTAGCGTTATGAGGCTTTGTTATTTTTATATAACTGGAGGTATAACTACACTGAATTGCCCACTACCAAACAAAAAAGTTCTGTTCTCCAGTGGGATTATGGTGTTGTACAACAGACTGGACATATGTGGCAAATTTCATATGTAGGTTTGTAGGCTCAACTGCCCATATCAGGCGTGTTTAGAAAATATCATACAACAATAATTAAAACTACCAAGCTGCATCAATAAACAACCAAAATAACTTCTAAAGCACTCTCAAACAAGTAGATAATTTTTTCATTGTGATATCTCAACTGGTTTATCAGCCATTGTGCTGAAAAATACAAGCTTTTTCAAAACAGATAAAACATCTCTACATCCCAGTAAAGCACATCATGCACTGAAGTGAAACAATTTTTTTGTCTGTTGCTGTCAAGCTAATCTAAGACATGTTCTGAATGTGTTTGACTCTGCTGTAGCTCTGCTACATTTATAGGGAGTTTTTATCATGATAGTTTTTTTGAAAGTCAACAAATATGTAGAGCTAAATGCTAAAGGGTTAAAGGTTCTTCACACAATTTCATTATTTCAGTCTATTATAAACTACTCTAGGATTCTTTTTGTCCAAACTCAACCTAACAAAACATCTTGAATAAGAACCTAACACAATCATAATTTTTCATCTTCTGGCTACATATTAAAAATTGTTTTCTTTATTTTCTGAATCCTGACATGTAGAATTGTAAGCATCTTGGCTAAGTAAATATATATCAATAAGCACTAATTTAAATTTTTGATAGTAGTACCTGAAAGCATGGCATATATTAATAGATATATATTAATTTATTTCTCAAAATTTTTTTATTTTGTTTTTTAATGTCTATAAATACTTTTCAGGGCAAAATTGAAATGATGATAATATATAGTTTACAAGGTCACAGCAGTTAAAAAATATGTGGAATTGAAATCAAAATATTACACTTCAATATGACTTTATAATACTACGTATCAAGTAACCGATGTTAATAAAGAGACATTGCATCTTTCATGCTTATAAATATGGAAAGAGCATCAATGCATCAGTTGTGGTGTCTGTTTTGAGCAACAAATTTGTTCTTTTAAAAATTAAACTTTTACAATTTCACCACAGATTAGGCCTAGGATGTAAATGTAATCATGTAGGCTGTGCAGTATGCCATTGTATGGCAATAATGGCACAATACTTAGATATATGAATTGTGAGACAGTGAGAGACAGTAGCAGGATAACATACTACATAGCATTAAAGCATTGACCACAATCCAGTGAAGGTAGGTAGAATTTTTTTTTTAATTTCATAACCCAAAAAAACAGATATTTCAATCTATTGTGAAATTGGGCAGCTCATAATTCATAACTTCCTATATAATATTTAGTTCAATTAAAAATCTTTTAGTATTTTCAGAAATAGATTTTATGTCAAGGTTAGGCCGTTAGGGCTATGTTTAGGTTGGGACCATTCAAAAATCAAACATTCATTCACAAATCAGTAAATGAATGTGATTGTGCCAACTAGAGACTGGTATAATCACATTGTCACAACAATTACCCCTGAAAAGTTTATTAATTACCTGAGTACGTTCCAGGATATGTAGAGGATAGAGATTGAGCGCAGGATGTAGTCTGGCAACATGTCGAGAAATTGACTGAGACGTGATGAGACACACGTTATCATCGAGAACGAGTTGAGTTTCAACTCCCCAGTGAAAGTTGACCCCAGTCAGAGAGCAGCATATGAATCCTCCTGTGATGGTAAATACAAATAAAAAAATAAAATTCATATAAACGCATGTAAGAATCAAATCCTACAAAATTTCCTAAGTTTGCTAAATGTGTCGTAATACCTACTACTACTAATACGCCTATGCCCATCGCCATCGGTAATCGTTCAATGAAATTACCATATGATATTGCATCAGCACCGTAGTCCTTACTACCGCTACGGCGCTAACAAGAATGAGCAGCTGTGAACAAATGTTTTGCCAAAAATTTGCCGTAAACAAAATCTAAGAAAATCATTAATTTAATTTGCGTACCGATTGGAGGATTTTTAGTAGAAAATGTAAGCGCAACCATTTCCGTCCACTGCTTGAGAGGCCACTACACGTTAAATAACAACGTGCCGCGACCACTGCCGACCGCGAATGTCGAGTTGTCGACTGGGTCAAGTTTTTACTTACCCTAATGCCGATAAATGGAGTATGTTTTTTTTTGCCCTAGTGACCGGAATAATATAAAAAGGTCCCGATTGGTATATTAACTTTTGAAATTGTGTAAATCACTTTAGATTTAACTATTTCTTGCAATTTTATTTATTAACTAACATGTGGTGTTGAAATCTGTGACAATATATGTTGATATATTACCAAATAAATTCAATTCTTATTATTCTTGTTATCACATAGAACAAATTACGCCAGGTTAACAGGTTCATGAATTTTCAAAATTAGTGAGAAATCAATTTAGCATATAAAATACCCCAAATCATATTTACAAGGAGCTCATTTCGTTGCATCGCTTTGCCGTTCGGATCAGTTTCATACATATTGTTCCCCGAGTTTCTTCTGTTGGTATGTCAGGTTGCCTGTCAAACATCCATTAAATGTGATGACACATTTTTCTCGTTTGAAGGTAAATATTTAAATAATTATTAGCTATTATAGATGAATTTTCTCTCCTTGCTCTCAAATTTGACTCTGTAGCGACTTCGTATTCGGTCATGGTAACTTTTCTTTGAGTTTGACCGAGTTCCGTCATCGCATCGTCTTGCCATACAACCTGGTCAAGGACTATTTATAAACCATGAAATTAGATTTATCGTCCTTCAAAGTTCAATCTATTACGTTATCATTAAGAAAATAGGGTAATTAGGTCTGAAGTAAAGCAGAGACAATTTTTATGTCTGAATCAGGAAATTTCTCTATTATAGAATTGAAATCGTTTAGCTAAATAGGCTACCTATATGCTATAATTGGTGACCTTGAAGGCCCGATATGGCGATAATGATTTAGGATAAACAGTTTCTGGGAGATTGTTATCATTTGTCTAGTTCCTGCTCTGATTAGATATAATTATTATATTCTATTTTAATAGCAATTACCTGATGCTAATATGTAATACTTAATTACTCATTACTTTGTAATTTGTATTAGTATTTTTTGTTTTATTGAACTGGAGGCTAATTCCTGCTAATCGCCTGGCGCCCTGGCAACTAGAGTCCTATAGGGTAAACGCGGTATATTCCGACATCGTAGGTAATTCCATCACCTCTCCAGCTTTTCCTTTATATTAAGCTTTGTTTTAGTTCCATGCATTCATTGATGGTTGAAATGGTGATGTCATACATTTGTGTGTCAAAATACTGCAAAAACACTAGGTCTTGGCCATCTAGTGGGAAAATATTGAGATCCAAAGAGAGACAATGCATGCCACGTGGTGAGATCATAGAAAAATGTGTCAAATTTGACAGTTGACATGGCTCTACCAAATAGTGAATAACTGTTTTTATATAATTCGAACACGTGGATGTCGGCAATACGTATCAGTTAAATTTGAAGCGCTGACGCAATACGACTCACCACGTGTCGAATATTGCCACACAAAGTGACAGAATATAGGGATTTGGTAGGTTTCCATTCTAAAGGCTTTTTAATAAATATGGCAACATTTTTTGACGTTTCATCATTGCTGACGCGTAGTGAAGTGTTTTGAGAGTCATGTGAAGGCAACAGAACTTACGTAACGCATACGGTTTTTTTATAGTTTTTCATTTCTTGATGCGTCCTTAATGTGTCGGAATATACCTCGTTTGCCCTACCTATGGTGATTCTAACTGAAAAATTGGGCAAATATACCTGTGAATTGGACAAAAATTTCAATAAATCTGGCCAATTTTACATATTATTATCACATTTTTCCAGTATTTTAAGTCCAAAATAAGAAAAATTGCCTATTTTTACCCGCAATATTTGAAAATCGCCTTTTTTTATCAGCATTTTTGCCTGCCATTTTAGGAAAATTCTGTCTAATATTCAAAATTAAATAGGGATTGTTTACACAGTGAAATTTGAGATGAAGGTTGTGTGGAGGACTGGAGGGTAATTATTTTGTACTAATTTAATTAGCCTAGTTTGTTGACAAAAGCCTTCAAATTCTAATTGTAAATTTGGAAAGAAAAAGCCTGCAAACATTATTATACACTAATACAGGATTAGAATTTTCTGACTTGTTTCTGAAATCTTGCAATTTCAGGTGCACATGACAAATTTTTAATACATTTGGAATCTCACGGCTTGAGCATGCACTTTTGTTAACAATTGGATTTGGATAGGAGGTAATTCATCTGGTGGAAATCTTGCAGTTCCGGAAATGGCAGGAAACCTCTAGTCATGGCCCTAAAGGTAGATATTTTCCACCATTGCAAACATAGTAGGATTGGTGGCAAAGCAGGGATTTATTTTTAGACTTTTCCCTCCTGTTCATTTTTGAGTGTTATTAGTAGACCAGTTATCCTATATACCTATAGCATATACAGGATAACTGGTCCTATATAGTAAAATGGGGTTACTTTGACCGGCGGGATAACTTTGACCACTTTTCTTTTTTTAACAAAAACCCCCAAAACTCAAAAACGATTTGACATGGAAAAATTTTGACAATGGCCATCAAAGGCCTAATACTGAGGCTATGTAACACAATAGAAAGATTTAAAAAGTTTGCATATCTAATACCGTAAAATGGGGTAACTTAGACCGGCGGGGTAACTTAGACCACTTTTCGTTTTTTTAACAAAAACCCCCAAAACTCAAAAACTATTTGCCATAGAAAAATTTTGTCAATGGTCATTAAAGGCCTAATACTGAGGCTACATAACACAATAGAAAGATTTGAAAAGTTTGCATATCTAATAGGTTAAAAAATTAAAAATGTGACCCACGAAAAAAAGCTATTATTTAAAGCCTGTC